ACTAATATTACAGATACTTAATATTATCAAAAAATAAAATGAGCACCTAGTTCTATCGAGCCTGTCAAGTTTATATTTAATACGCGTATTGAAGTTATGGACATCACTCGTTTTATCAAGGGTACGAATTTACTTGAGTTTGCTTGTATTCAATTTATATAGTTTATTATGTCAAGTCTGCATGCGAAACGAGTCAGAGTGTCTGCGTGAGATAATTACTTTCGAAAACATCACTTAGACGCGACGCGGGAGCGTAATCGATCTGTATTTCTTCAATAGAAGAAGAATAAAAAAGAAAGAAAAGAAAGAAGAATAATAATAGGAAAAAGAAGCGGAATGAAGCAAAAGCAATGGGACCAATTGTCTGTATTTAAGTAAATGTGAGCTTATTTTTTTTTGTTTCAATGTGTCTTTAGAGGAGTGGAGTAGCGTGCCTTAGAGAAGCCCTGTATCAAAATTTGTCGGGGGGCCCAAATGAAGGGTAGAGATTTTTTACAAAAGGAACAAAAACTCTCGCAATGAATTAAAATAATTATATATTGATTTTACTTAAAATGACTACTCCTAGGAACTAAGCTAGCCAAACAATCCAAACCAACATCCTGTCCCATAGAAGTCCTTAGAATTTTTGCTTACATACGTTTGGGGTCTCTGTGGCCCGGGGTAATCGTTACATACGGGGGATACAGCTGATACAGCGGTAGCTACGCCCCTGCTTCGGAGCCAATGAAGGGATCAACTTCTGAAAGATTAGTGTTATAGCTTCTAAATATCATTGTAGAAATCGTATTTTGGCCATTGTTCGTAGTGTAAAAGGGAACATTTAATAAAGAAATACATCTAGCACAGCGCAAAGAAACCTGTAACGACACGTGTTCTAGCAATCTAGGATAGTTTATTCGTCCATGCCTGGTGTCCGTGCAAGATATCGTACAGACTACTGAAATTAAGTCACAACGTTTTCGAGCGTAAGTAGAGAATACATGCGGCTATTATCCACATACATAGTAGTACCTAGTGTGTTACATGTTTAATACATTTTTATCGCTTATACCTCATAGTTTCTCTTTTAACAAAAAACATTTTATGTTGGAGACCACTTATGCAGTACTATTTATCATTATTTTATTTAACTATCCAATTGCAGATGAGCGAAATTGACTTGCCTGACTTAAAAGTGATAGGGCACGTGCTTAGATGTTAGACGTACCAATTTCTTGGTATGCGTACCATTTTTTGGGTCTTATACCATGTACCAACTAAATACTGTCTTGGTTCTAGACATCGAGCATGACTGATTTTTTTTTGCTATTTTTAATAACAGACATGCAATGCAAGAGTATGTCGCCCGAACTTCAGTTGACCAAATCTTATCTTCACGCACAATCCCTGACGGGGTAGCCAGAGAGAACAGATCGCCAAGTGTCACGATCCTTACAAACCTCTTTCGCTTCTTTAAGATTCATTATCTTCTTCATGCATGCACGTCTAGGTATCCGAGTACTTTTGACCCTACCCTCTTCGAGCAATTTGCTCACATGGTCTTCGAAAGTTAGTCTCGGTCTACCTCGACACCTTTTAATATTAACTTTCGCGCTATATATTTTCTTCACCATTCGGTGAAGAAAATATATATTGACCAAATCAATCCTGAAAATCAAGAAAAGTTCATAGGTCTTTAGAATAATGCACTTAGGTGCCTGTGTTTTGAAAGAATTAAAAAAAAAAACAGAAGTGCTAAATAAACCAGATGCCATTAAGGATTTTTTCTTGATATGTCGCAGCTTTATGGACAAACTTTACACTGGAATTCAAAAAAGATTTAACTTTGACCATCCGCTCTTAAAACTGCTTCCTTTACTACATTCTTCGAAAGCTCTATCCGGACGAGAGCGCAATAATAATCAGTTTTTTATGAAGATTAGCGATTACATTCCAGGAGCCAAACCTAAATATCCAATATCTTTTCAAAAATTAGATGATGAGACATTGTAGAGAAAACAAAAGTTGATGTTTCTGGAAAAATTTCGCTACTGAAGGATAGTGAAAACTGCAATAGATATTATGTAGAATTACCCCACTTTGTACTAGCTGTTCTCTGCACTCCCCATTCTAATGCAGATTGTGAGAGAGATTTCAGGAAATATCATCTGGTAAATACTAAAACTAGAAATATACTTACGATCGAAAATATCCAGGGGGCTATGCTATTATCACAGTGTGTTAAGTCGAGCGAAAATTACTGTCCGGGATTCAAGCCCGAACAAGGTATGCATATCAGATGACCTCTGCAATTTTTTATGACGATAAACAGCTAGGTGCGAATATGGTTTTTGTTTTCATTAATCACAAATATATGATATTTATTACTATTACTTACTATGTGTAGGCATCTTAAATGAGTGCAACGTATACGTTGACGTACTGTCATAGCAATGTTAGCCATCATTAAAAAAATTGAAGTTTTATTTAAAACAATATGGTCATAGAATTATAATTCTATGAATATGGTCTTCATTATTTGTTTTTGTGTTCTTAAACATATTATGATAGCAATGATTTTTTGACATTATTTTTCATAAGATAAGTTATCTTATTTTTGTGCATTCATATAAATGTTATAATTATTTTTAACTACTACGTATCAAGTTTCTTCCGTGGTTCAAATTGAAATTCACGCTTCAATCAAATAAAAAAAACACTTACCAACCTATTTTCATATCATGTTATATTATTTACTAACAAGTGTGATGGTAAGCTAATGTATGTAAAGCCTAAATCGTCTATACTAGGCGGTAGTACATTATACCATATCCTTAAATACACATACTACGAGTCTAATCTATAATAGTACCGTATGAGTGTACTAATTTTTTATTTGTAATACCAGGTTTTAGCGACATCTGTACCAAATTCATTGGACACATATCTAACATTACTGGGTATGTGTGTTGTAAAAAGGCATCGAGGATAATCTACGAATAATTCTTTAAAATAATTCTTTAAAAATCCAGTGCTCGTTGCCACGGTAATTGTAAGAATAATATAAAGCATTTAAAGAAAAAAACTACTTCTAAATCGACAGCTCTCAAGTTCATAGGCCCGGCAACATCTTGATTGAGAATGTGTAACTCTGAGCTTTCATCATTTTGTATTGCCATAGGTATCAAATTCAAGTACGAAGTTATGTGGGAATCGATTTGTACTTGAAATGATATAAGGAAGTAAATATTTTAATTGCTCTAGTTAATCTCTGTCTGTTAAATTATTATTATTAAGATCTATACTATATACCTTCAAAAGATATGTAAAAAGATTTTTTACTTTGAGATAATGTCGAGAAAATAATTTGAGTTTTGGCGAGAATTCGTTAGGCGGCGGATTGTTGATCCTGTTGTATTATTAATTGCTTGAATTGAATTTTAATACGTAAAAGTGGAGCGATTTTTTGTATTAAATGTATGCGCATGTGAACTATTAGTAGAAACAATAAAACAAGTCTCACCGACGCTGATGTGAATCTGAAGTTATTAGGTGCCTCCAGACAGTTTCGTCATAGACTGTATATTTGCTCAAGCGGTCGTCAAGATATCCCAAAAACCGCAATGTGATGCATCAACATATTTTTAAATAAGAAGAATAAAAAAAGAATAATAATTACTTTAAAGGTTATATGTTATCGTGACACTGGCAAAAGTACAAGTGGTACAAGTCCATTACCAAATAAAAAAGTAATTATTCTAATAGATTTTGAACGCATTTTAAGATCTAAGATTGCCTGTTGTAAAAATAAACATTATATATTTATATATCGTAGAGGGAGTATGATATATATATAAGGTCACGTTTAATGCTTTTTATTTTCCTTATATAATAAAGGTTATTAATAATAATTTTAAAATAATTTTCATTGTCTACTTTCACAGATAATTTAACTTTTACTAATATAAAGCTAATTTTATCTGCGATAATTTTAAAATGTAGCAACATTTCCTGCTGCAAGTTTGCGCATGCGCCGAATGGCGATAATTCAGTGAATAATCTTTGAACTAATATTTTTTAACTATGAATTTTTGTCATTAGATTGTATTTATTTCGGTAATCTAATAATTAATTGTGTCCTCTAAATTAAACTTTTAAATTAAAATAGTAACAAAATATTAATTCTAAAGTGTTTATAGTATACCATTGGTGGCCATTACAAAACCTAAACTTTTATCAAGACAAATGTCCATTACATTTGATGTTTCGGCGACGTTGTGGAACTAATCGAAAGTTGTATTCCCTGTTACATGGTAGTCTAAGTTTGTGTCTATATTTTACAGTGAAATCTTTTACTTGATGTTCATGCAGAGCTGTTTGAAAACGAAAAATAGAAACAGTTTCATTAGGGTTGATTTTCTGCTTGTTGGAAAAACTCATTTACCAGGTTTTTCAACAGTTAAATCCGGTTCTTACACCGTTATGATGTAATTTCATCTATTATTTTTAATTTTATTACTGATTAAAAGTGTAATTCAAATTGTGCATAAAGTGCTAACTCCGTTTCGTTTGTTACTCTTCATTGAACATAACATTGACAAGTCGACCTATATCACTAGCGCTTTCTTCTATCCATCTATAACGAAATTATCAGATATTGGTTGATAACAGTAGCATAAAACACTTGTTATCAGTCTGTCATTGAAATTCACTATAGCTTCTAATTTAAACGATGATTCGCCGAAACAACAAAATAAAAATTATGTTTCCAGTGTAACTAAAATGATTTTGAGATAAATTACAAATAGTGCAGTTGTTATAGTGTACAAAAATTAAAAGCAATATTAGAAAAGCAGTGTTTTAAAAGTGGAGTGTATAGTGTGGTGTGGCGATTATGTACTGCAGTGTAAATTTTTCAATACGGTGGTGACATGGACTGCAGCGGTGTGACTAGTAAAGCTGGACTCCAGGAGTGATCAGGTGTGCTTGGCATAGCGCCTGCACCAGAACCTAGTATTATGAATAAACGAGACGGCAATAAAGAAAAAGAACGCCAGACTGACGATAAAAGAACTTCTGCGTAAGTATTTTCCTTCACTTCATTTATAACTGTTATTTTTGCATAAGATGTGTACAAAACTTGTTTTAAATTGTACAAAAATAATCACAAATGATTTATACCTTTTTACTCACATGAAACTAAATAAATATTTATATTTCCTTCCTTTTCTTTGAGCAGCATAAAAATGGATAATGAAGACTTAATGACAAAGGCTTTTGCCATTAAGTCTTCGTTATTGCCATTAATGTGTACAAAATGACTTAATAACTTATTCTTTATGTTTATCTATTATTTACACATCTAAGTTAAAGTCAAATGAAAATAAAAGCAAAGCCAATAATAATATCTTTACTTACTTAATATTCATACTGTGAAATTTAAGTTTCAAATTTCTAGAGTGTAATCTTTTCGATTTAAAAAAGAAATAAAAATGAAGCAACATTTTACTCATTATTTCCTTAATTTAGTGTAGTTTAATTTTTAAATTTAAACATAACCTGCATAAGAAATATTCAGACTAGGGAGTTTTGTATTAACATAGTTACTATATTGATTTGCTAGTTGGGAATTGCAGTAATAATATAGTAAAAGGTTGCTTATAGTAGACAAGGTGTAATAAGGTAAGGTCTCAATTGGAATTTGGTGGTAGGGCTCCCTTCCTACTTTGGAGTATCAGGTGTGTTGGTATCTAAACTACTTCTGCAGTCAAGCCTCAGTTCAGTCACTGCTTGAACTGTACCAGTTCAAAGAGCAAGAGAGACACTCAAATTATTGCTGCATAACATTCAATTTCTTCTGAGAGAAGAGAAAACATGAAGACTTAAACAATGTTTTGTTCAGTGTTTAGTTTTTCTTTCATATCACTGCCTATGAGGTACCAATGAGAGCTTGAACCAGGTACTGCAAATTAATGCACAGTTTTATTTTTTGGTACCTTTCATTCTGATAATTTTTACCTTAACATTGATCCCTGTGGTTGACTGGTCTTAAGATGATAACAAGAAATTAAAAGCTATAATAAGATTTCTTATATTTACGCGAACACTACACATTGAATAAAACTATTTTTATCCATAAAAATAGTTTTATTCAAAGCTATAATAAGAAATAATAATATGGATAAAGATAAATAAAAATAAGCATATGAAAAAATATCCATCTCAAATCAACTTATTTAATAGAGGTATCTCAAAATAATTTTGATTATTTTGTGTACAATTATAATATGAAGTTGCTGAAGTGGGCAGTGACAGTTGTGACTTGTGACAATGAACTTGCTAAATAGCAACAGCAAACTCATTAATTGAATGAATATATTGAAAAGTAATAGCAAATTCAATCAAAAGCTTACCTTAATTTGTAATTTTGACCCACAAATATGGAGATTCTGAATAAGAGTGTGATGAAAAGTAGAGCCTGTTTGATTCTTGGAAATATTAAGATAATGAGGCAGCCAAACCATTTCAAAAATTGAATACATGAATGTAAATGGGCCCTGGGAATGAGGTGATTACTACCATGCTGGTTCTGTTATAATTCATATTAGTAAATAAATGTACAAAACTATTGTAAAATTTTATGTCTAAAAAAAATTATTTCACTAAGTTTCTTGTTGGGTCTTCCCAGTTCAAAGGTATTTTTCAAACCAGTGGTAAATAAATAAAAAAAATGACTTACGATAAGTTTAGTATCAAATAATAGTCTATAGTGAATTAAAATAATGTTTTATTATCTTTTAATAAAACATAAAAAGAAGGAGATTATGACTGTATGGCAGATTGTAATTATTCCAGCATTGTTCATTACCTACATCTTGAGATCTGACAAGAGGGATGCTGTCAAAATTATTAAACAATAATTGACAAGCTGGCTCTCAAACTCTTGTCTTGTCAATTGCCAGCCCTTGTCTTTATTAGTTCACTTCTTTTTTAGTAATAAATAATAAAATTATCTATGATTAAATAAAATTTGTGACCAATGCAAGTATTAAACAATATTTACAATGTTAATGTTATTATTTATTGTTTGGTTATTCAGTTGCTTTTGATTAATATCATAAATATTTTTAAGAGTTGCTGGCTCAGGTACAGGAAGTTTCTATTAAAGTTCATAGTATGTTTGTCTTTACTCCAAGCTGTGTGATCCCCACAAATACAACTGAAATTATTAGACACAATTTTAAATGCTGATGTAATATATACACTTAGTGGTGAAAGAAACATGGTAAAGAAGTAGTAGTACATTAGTACATAGTAGAATAGTAAAAAAACTACTGAGGAGTTAAAAATGTTTCATGAAGATGTGAAGTACACCAACACTTGTTGAGTTGACATGGTAAAGCATGGTGGTAAACCATAGAATTCGGGGAAGTGAGCAGGAATACAGATTTTGTTGTTAGAGTAAGAACGTAGGACCCTATCATGAGATGAGGAAAGATATTAATAAATGCTATTAAAAAAAGAAAGTTGTGGATTGTTTTTAGACTTCCATTTATGTTTATGTAATTATTGCATATTATTGCATTCTTTTATACTGTGAACAATGTTGCCGACTTTCAAATATGAGTTTAAATTTAGGTTTTGTTTAAATTTTTGCCTTAATTGCATTGTTTACGGTGTTAAATGTGATTTCTTACTTCAAATAAACTGAATGCCAGATCTATACAAGACTCAAGTTTGCTAGGGTTGTTACTTTAATTAAAACTGGGCACACTTACAAACATGTGGCTCATACGAGTATCAAAATCTGTGGTACACCGAGTTGTCAATAGGTAGACCAGACCAGACAGGATACTATATGAGATTCACAGGACAGGGACGTAAACAGAAAACTATGGCCAGAGATGATTGAAAAGAGTGAAATTGGGCGGAATAAATTTATACTTGCCTGCTAGAGGCCTCCTTAAATAACATAAAAATTGGTATCATTAAGCTTGGAGTCAAGTTCTATTTACAGATGAGTCCAGATTTTGCCTGAAGCCAGATGATGGAAGGATTAAAGCATGGAGAAGCCTTGGAGAAAGGTACTCTCACAAAGGTACATTGGAAAGTAGGCATATGATGGACGGTCAGTTTGGTATGGGGAGATATTTATTTGGGGGCACGTATGGAACTCCACGTCATTGATAATGGGTCACTAACAGCCACAAAATATGTAACTGAGATTTTGGAAGAAATTGTAATGCCATTTGTTACTGTTATAAGAGATAGATTTGTTTTTAGGACATAGTTGTGCATGGTAATGCATGCCCCCATACTGCTGCTGTAGTTGTCGAATACCTATGAGACATTGAAATCAATACTATGGGGTGGTTAGCAAATTATAGCTTTTCCTAAGTATTTTTGAAAACAAGTTGTAAAATCAAAAAGTATGCATTATAAAGGATAATTGTAATAAGGATAATGATAATACAAACCTAATGGTTCGATCTTGATCAAATTTATATGGGACCACACGAGAAGTGGCACCAGCTTTCAAATAAAAAAAGAATCATCAATATTGGTTCATCTAGAAAAAAGTTCTGAGGTAACACACAAAAAAAATACAGTCTTATTGGAAACCTCCTTTTTTTGAAGTCAGATAAAAATGAAGAAAATGTTAAGTACTAAAATATTTCTTTTCTGTAAAATTTTTCTTTCCTTAATCTGGTTAATTTTTGTTATTTGATTGTTTGTTAATTACAATTCTAAATTGTCACAAATATCTATGATATTTTGTTTTATACACACTTTTTGCATTTCTCTAAATTTGTCCATGAGTAAATTTTATTGAAATTTATAATTAAAAATTTTGTACAACCGACTTTAAATTATAAAGAATAACTCAAAAACTATTAGTCAAACCTTGATCAAATTTATATGGGACCACATCAGAAGCACCAGCTTTCAAATAGAAAAAGAATCATCGAAATTGGTTCATCCAGAAAAAGTTATGAGGTAACACACATTAAAAAAAAAGAACATAGTTGAATTGAGTAACTCCTCCTTCTTGAAGTCTATAGAAAAACAGGTAGAAAGATTTTAATTTCAGTATATTTACTACTAGCTGTACCTCACAACTTTGCCCGCGTGTTATGTGGAGTTTTAATTTTTTTTTTGCAGAACCCTAATTCTTTTTCTAAAATAAAAGTAGACTAAGTAACTCCTTGTGACATCAGCTATCTACCATTGAAAATCCCATCAAAATCGGTCCTGCCGTTTCGGAGATTAGCCGGAACAAACAGACAGACAGACAAAAACTTTAAAAATTGTATTTTTGTTATTAGTACCGTATATACTTTCATATCCATTTAAGTAAAAAACTGCAATTTTGACATTACAAACAGACACTTAAATTTTATTTATTTGTATAGATTTAAAAGAAGTGTGTATAAGCTTATTTATTGTATTCAAGGTGTTTGTTTGTCTCTTAAATGTAAAGTAACATAATTTTGTATTTTAAGTGAAATTACTATTTATGTAAGAACAATATATACAATTTTATTACACTTCAACCATACATATATATCATATCAATAATATTATTACAATGCCAATGAATCACAATATATGTAAACATCTTGTATCACACACAATACCCTTGATAACACTTCTTGCTAAAAGCAAAACTTACTTATCATTACTAGAAGCAGTACAGAAATGTTTTTGCTACAGATTCCCTCACAATTTGATTTTGTTTATGATTGCTGTTGTCTCTAGCTCTTATTCATATGCTTGTAGCTAAAGATGTGAATGAAATAATACAAATTTGTTATGATGTTAAATAATAATGTTATGTTTGTGTTAAAATCTAGAGTGCTTCGCCCATGTCATGAAAATTGACAAGTGAATTTGTTCAAACTAAAAATATTAATATGAAGAGAGATTAGCAAAAATGTTTTCAATTTATTGTGTTTATTGTGCTTTAATGTGTTGTTATTTTAACATTAATAGTTATGCATAGAAAATTGTAAGTACCTAATAATATAACATAGTAATGTTGTTGGAAATTACCTAACCTGTTCAATAACTGAGTACTTA